AAAAAATACAACATAAAAGAAATCTTGCCACAATATATGTCAAAGAGTGTTATGCCTATATTTTCCCCTAAGACTTTAATAGTGTCTGGCCTTGAATTTAGGTCTTTAATCCATTGTGAGTTTATCTTTATGTGTGGTGTGAGGCAGTGCTCTAATTTTATACTTGGACATGAAGCTGTCTAGTTTTCCCAGCACCATTTATTGAAGAGGAAATCTTTACCTCACTATATATTCTTGCCTCTTTTTTCATATATGGGGTGACCATATGTGCATAGGTTTATCTCTGGACTTTCAATCCAGTTCCATTGATCTACTTTTTATTTTTGTTCCAGTACCATACTGTTTGGATGACTGCAGCTTTGTAGCATTGTCTGAAATCAGGGAGCCTGATTTCTCCAGCTTCATTTTTCTTTCTCAAGGTTGATTTCACTATTCAGAGTCTTTTGTGTTCCCATAACAATTGTAAAATATTTTGTTCTAATACTATGAAAAATGCCATTGCTAATTTGATAGGGATTGCATTGAGTCTGTAGATTACTTTGCATAGCACAGTCATTTTGACAATATTAATTCTTCCTATCCAAGAACATGATCTATCTCTCAATCTGTTTGTTTCACTTCAGGTTCTATTTTGAAGAAGTTTTAACAGCAACCTGTTTTCCTCATTGAATGAATTAAAATATAGTGTTTAACATATGTTCATTTTTATACCTGCTTGAGAGTCATAATTTTTTGATAGCCTGATAAGTATCCTCAATAGCACACACCTTTCCTCAATAATCACTTTCCAGTTACTATAGCATTAATTTTTACACATCAACTTGCTATTTTGTAATATTAATAGCTACAGTGCTTTATATTAACTTTTGTAATTAATAAAATTAATGATTACAAAACAAGTACAAACTGCCCACTCACATGATTCTAATGATTATTGATTGATTCAGGCAAACAAATTTTTGTCAAGTCTGGTTTATGATGATACTTTTGAACAATGTATCTCTCTTTTATAAAAGACACAAACAGATGATTATTGAATAGGATGTTATCTCAAACATACAAGACAAGTAATACCAAAGAAAACATATTAATTATCACTTTGGGAACCTGATGTAATAACTCAATGTTTGGATTTCAGAGAAGATCCTAATTTGGTGGGTTGTGCTGAAAGATGAGAAAACAGGTTATGTATTGAGATGACCAAAAGGCAAATAGTAAAGCTGTAGACTCCAACAATGTGTTTTGGGATTAGATTATCAATCAAACAAATGAAACACAATTACGCTTACCCGGCACCAAATTTACTCAGCTTCCAAAACTGACACAGAACAGAGAAAACAACAACATGCAAAGAGCAGCATCACAAGGATCTCAGAATATTAGACACTACTTAAGATGTCCCCCCTCTTTTTCTTTTTTTTTTTTTTGCATGAAATGTTCCCTTGGCGTCTCTAATTTTCTTGAAGAGATCTCTAGACTTTCCCATTCTGTTGTTTTCCTCTATTTCTTTGAATTGATCACTGAGGAAGGCTTTCTTATCTCTCCTTGCTATTCTTGAAACTCTGCATTCAAATGGGAATATCTTTCCTTTTCTACTTTGCTTTTCACTTCTCTTCTTCTCACAGCTATCTGTAAGTCCTCCTCAGACAACCATTTTGCCTTTTTGCATTTCTTTACCATGGGGATGGTCTTGATCCCTGTCTCCTGTACAATGTCATGAACCTCCATCCATAGTTCATCCAGCTCCCTGTCTATCAGATCTAGTCCCTTAAATCTATTTCTCACTTCCACTGTATATTCATAAGGGATTTGATCTAGGCATTTCATGCAAAAATAGGCTCAATAAAGGACAAAAATGGTATGGACCTAACAGAAGCAGAAGATATTAAGAAGAGGTGGCAAGAATACACAGAAGAACTGTACAAAAAATATCTTCATGACCCAGATAATCATAATGGTGTGATCACTCACCTAGAGCCAGACATCCTGGAATGTGAAGTCAAGTGGGCCTTAGAAAGC